TTAAATTTTTGTAAAGCAACCGCGGTTGTTTTCGACGCAACAAGTAAGAAGATATTAGTTCTAGTTCGTATTATCGTTTAATACGAATTCTGTATGCTTTAAAGCAAAGCACTCTAATTTCGGTTCCACGCACTGTAATTGTACCTATAAATCATTTTACAACTTCAGTAACGGATTTCGCAGTGATGTTGTGAGCGAATCGTTTGCTTATCCGAGTTTTCGATCATCACCAGTTTGTAGATTTTTCAACGGTTTAATGGACATGAAACGTTGAACATATTTGCCATATCAGGCTTGAGTTTATAGGTTTGTTTATTTCCTTGTTTGAAAGAATCCGTGTTCTTCCCACTTCTGCATCTGTGATGGCACAACTTCCGTTTAAGCCGGTGAGTTTTGTTGAAGGAGGTTTGATATCGTTTTCTTGTTCCGATAAGGCAAAAAACGAGGATGAGAAGCCGGATGAAGCACGTTCTACTCTTGCCGGAACTGAAGCGAAAGATTTCTACGAACATTGCATTTGTCAGGCTTCGTCCCGCTCTTCAGTTCCGCCTCGTTTTCTCCCATCCGTGCGAGAAGCCTCAGGTTGTTCTGGAAAAATCAAAAGAAGAGACGGAAACAGGATTCACAATTCTTCAAAGGTCGGCTGCAGCGTTGATACTTTGTTCAAAGCTGCTGCTGCGGGTGATACGACAGTGGTCAAGGAATGCCTCGCATCCGGAATGGACGTAAACGTTTATGACCAGTACAAATGGACTGCGCTTATGTGTGCCGCTTTTGCCGGACAAACGGATGTGGTGATGTTACTGCTGAACAAAAGGGCAGATCGACGGCTAATCAACCAGAAGGGTAAGACGGCTTGTGACCTCGCTGCGGATCAGGGACACAAAGATATTGTCTATTTGCTACATGGCAATAAAGGTAATGGAATTTTTCATGTATATTACCACGTGTACGTAAAGTGCCACGGAAGTTTTTTAAGCTGTGCAGACGCATTCTGTTTTATACTGAGATGTAATTATATATGCGCTTTAAACATGATGCGTAAAGTGTAATGAATGAATGAATTGAAGGCGTCATTATAGGTGTGCCTATCTGTCGTCGCCAATTTACCACAGTTGCGTAACCGAAATGGTTAATCTTATGGTGTCCTCTGGACGGCAGGCGGAGTCCTTAATTTTGCATGTTCTGCTACATCTGCGGAGACAGATTTGCCCTGGTTGGGTCATTCCAAGTGCGTTTTTGTTGGGAGCTACGATATCCGTGATTTGACCCCACAGTTCCTAAGATTCACGAAACCACTAATGCCACTAATTCCTTGTACTTGTTATTATAGAACCAGGAAATTCGTGGTTCCTGGAGCAACAAACATAACTCCGTTGTTCGGGGGGACTAACAGCCTTGGTTGATTGGCTGAAAGCCTTATTGATTAATTAATTAATTGATACCAATGAACGTTGCGGATGTAGCTTAGAGAACGTTGTTGGAAGGCGTTTAGACGACGCTGATGCGTTTTTAGCAAAGGACCCCTTTTAGAAGCCGTAAAATAAGACCACAACGACAGATGATTGCGTATCTTTATTTTCATCGCTAACTGCATGCTTTGCTGGCATTAGATCTTGTCTAGGGTTCAATCGGACCACTGCTAAACCTTTCTCTAGTATTCACCTTTGTTTCGCAGCAGCTATCGTTGGTACTAACGGTGCCAAATTTCTGCTGGTAAACTTCTTCGAATCTTTTTCCAAGCAAAGAATGGTCTGTGATCCATCTCTTCTGTATCTTCTGCCTTATCACTTCACTTTCGTTTTCTTCTAAGTCACTCTAAAGCCGCTTGTTACAGCGATGGTTTGAACCATCTGTATTAGTAATCGTACTCATCCATCGGAATTGGAGGCATGGTCAGATTCTTCTTCTTTTTAGTTGCCACTGAAACGGACTGCACTCATTCAGAATGGATTGTGAAATGCTTCAGATTCCTAATTTTTAGAAAATTTTAGCTTGATTAAAAAAATTTTAAAAGTTTTTTCGTCTCTGTTACCCACACATATCTGATATATTCATATTTTTCAGCGAACGAAGACAATTACGTAATAAGGAGCGAATATCGAAACATGAAAGCCGAAGCTAACAAATGCGAAAACGAATTCCATGATAACAAATACTACTGCGACGACTGTAGAACTTATTTTCACTCGCCATCGCATTATTCTTCGACGGCACACTTGTTCAACACATGGACTGTGCATTTGCAACCATCGTACAGTATTTCGCGGTCCAACAGAGGCTACAGGCTGATGATGAAAAATGGTTGGAACGAAAGTTCGGGTCTGGGACCATCAGGCAAAGGATGTCATTACCCGCTGAAGACTCTTTTAAAACGAGACCGGAAAGGTTTGGGTATGCCGACCAAACAGAAACCGAAAGTTACCCATTTTGAACCTTTCGACGAGAGCGCTATCACCGGCAAATGGGGTTACAAAATGCCCAAAATTCAGCGCAAACGTGATCTGGAGTACCTGCTAAAAAAACGTAAGCATGAAGAAAAGAAATTTCGACGTCAATTTTACTGAATCGGTGTTTCGCTTGTGCAGCGCCATTTTTCCTCATTGAGTCCAATGTCCGTTTCAGTAGAGAATTCAATGATGGCTTATACGCTTATAGATGGAAGCGAATATGGATGGATCAGATCGTGAGATCTTTCGGAAATGGTTTCTACCTGTTGCTTATACTTCACCTCAGAGCAACTACGGGGCCTACTTTTATTGTACTTGAACAGTAATGAATAAATGGTCACGTAGCTGGTATGGCGCTTGTTGAAACGGTGGTGTCGTAGCTACTGGTGCAATACGCCGCGAAATCTGACCTTAGAGTTATTGTGTTATTTCATATATTCGAGCGTATGATATTATATTTGGTTCCTAAATACACTCGCTTAAGCGAATTTAATTCGGTCCTGTACCACCGTTTGTTTTCCGTTTCTGATTTGTCTTAAATCTTCGTATTTTGCTTACCATTTATCCTCTTCATTCACAGACGTCAATCTATAAATTTAAAGGAGAAAACAGAGAAGTGATACTGCCTTATTTAAAAATCACTTTCTGATTCGGTCTTCTAGTCCTCGACGTCAGAATCGTATCCCTCATAGTTGTCTTAGTAACACGCACTGGTGTGCAAGATGTTAAGTTGACAAGTTCAGAATATTAATACATTTCTTTCATAGTCGTCATTTATATTCCTCTTTAACCTGATGCGTACGCTCTTCTGTTGCCGGCACCCAATGATGCTTTAATCTTGCCGATATTTCAAAGCATCGAGGATTTGGGCGTTTTTCACCTACGGTCTCTGTTCAGGATGTTATCCGTTTTTAACTTAGAAAAACAAAGTAACCTGATGATGCTGGTATCCTGCTGTTATTTCCGTTGTGCATATATCGGTTTTAGACTTTCTGTTAAACAGTTTTATATATTCATGGTTTTACATTGCGAATATGAATACTGAGTGCATTATTCATTGATGAAATCAAAAAATCATTATTACCTTCAATGTTTGAATGTACTGCGTATATTGAATTTTGATCCACATCCCGTGTAGCCACTGCCAAGTATGCTAACAACGGCATTTAAGTACAAACGGACAATTTCAAGAAGCAGTAATAAACCAGGGGACCGCGACATAGTAACTATAGCTTGGATGTGTACCTTGAGTTATTGAGTTCCAGGTTCCAGTTCCAGTGCAGTCCATAAATTTTTTCACACTGTTTGGTCATTCCTTGGAGCAACATAGTAACTTCACTGGACTAGGCGTGAAACTGACAGAGGTTCGTTGACTTACGAACACAAGAGACAACTTCGTATTTTGGTCGACAGACTCCGCAAAACTTACGACCGTCATGTCTACGCTGTGATGCGTGATTCTTGACCGTTCTGGTAGTTATCTAAATATTCAGTACAAGGAACAATTCATAAAAAATGGTCTACTTCCGTTGTAATATCTCATAGCTCTGTTTTGTGGTTGCTTTGTTATGTCAAGCCATGCCATACCGACATCTTTGCTATATTTTTAACTACCATACAATAAGTTTATGAATTTATGGAAAATTTTTAATAAAATCACAGATTACAAATGGCGAACGTACAAGAGAAAGCGGCAGCAAATAACGTTTCGAACCAAAGTTACGGCTTTTTGTGCTGTGGTGTGCATCGGAATCAACCTGGCCATAATCAGCACGTTGATGGGCAGACCAGCG